TATTTCACTAAGGACAAGTAGTTTGTCCACCTCAGGTGATGTACAGATCCACACAACGGGGATGTCCAAAAACCTTGGTTTGTCTTCCTCACGTCTTTGTTCTCCCCACAGGAATTCCGGGAGCCCAGCCAGCACTATACGGACTCACAGCGACAGAACGCCTTGATGATGGAAATCCTTAAAGAGGCCGCATCGACTGATGAGAATTGGGCCCGGAAACCTTTCTCTTGGAAGAAGTAGCAACGGATGTGACCCGACAGAGCTGCTTGGACTGCACAGTGTTGTGACTCTGTAATGAAAAAACACATTTTTCCTTCGACCCGTTTATTACTTGGGGTCCTTCTGCGGCTTGCTTGGTAAGCTGTCTTCATAAATTAAAAAGGGCACTTGGAGTGTCATTCTGTGTGTGTTTCATGTCTGGCAAAATCGAAAAATGGACCTTAGACAAATGCACGTCCTTAGGGTGGCCCAGCGTGCTCATCCTTTTGTGTTTGCCTGGCTCTTTGAATTCACACATCAAGCTGCAACAAAAAAAAATTGTTTTGCCTGTTGCTAGCTTAGTGTCTGGTTCATCCTGAAAAGTTTATTTTATTTAAATTTATAAGCTGCCCATCTTGCCTAGAGGTGACAAAGTAAAAGAAACAAGGTAAAATATTAACATAGGTTGATCTAGAAATTGATAGAGAGATGCTCAAGAACAGAAGTGCTTCCGGTAACTTAGTTTACGGTAGAAAAACTGCAGAAGCCATATGCTGGCTGCAGTTTATTAACATTTGCGTATTTGTAAATATATAGTTACTTGTGTTTTTATGTAAGGCATTTAGCAACTTAATTTTCATAGCTGTGCTTTAATAACTTATTTATATATTTATAAATATATAGTTATTAAATCTGTGGCTTAGCTGGTTAACTTTTAACTGCAGTTTAATCACTAATATTGTTACTATGCATATGTAGAAAGGTAGGTAGGTAGGTAGGAAGGAAGGAAGGAAAAGATGGGAGAAACGGGGAGGAGAAAGGAAGGGAGAGGAAAGGAAAAAGGAAGGAAGGAAAAGATGGGAGAAACGGGGAGGAGAAAGGAAGGGAGAGGAAAGGAAAAAGGAAGGAAGGAAAAGATGGGAGAAAGGGAGGAGAAAGGAAGGGAGAAAGGGAAAAAGGAAGGAAGGAAAAAATGGCAGAAGGGGAGAAAGGAAGGGAGAGGAAAGGAAAAAGGAAGGAAGGAAAAGATGGGAGAAACGGAGGAGAAAGGAAGGGAGAGAAGGAAAAAGGAAGAAAGGAAAAGATGGGAGGAAGGGAGAGGAAAGGAAGGAGAAGGAAGGAAAAGATGGGAGGAAGGA